TTTTTTTTTTTTTTTTTTTTTTTTTTTTTTTTTTTTTTTTTTTTTTTTTTTCGAATCATACAAGTTACTCAGTTCACAGCGCGAAAAGGAGCAAAATGTCAACAGTGCAAACTTAACCCGAAAGAGTAACTTTGAAAAATCAAAAAAAAAGAGAATAAGGACAATAACTTGTAAAACCCAATAAAAAACGTAAAAAAGAAAAACAAATGTCGGACACTCGTTTCATCAAATTATGGCTGGCGACGCAAAGGGACCTGCAAAAATTGATCCAAGTGGACAGGAGCGTGTCGGAGGACGAGCCTGTGGAGGATCGCCAGGAGGCGATACGAAAGATACTGCCGGTGTACTATCAGTTGAGCAGCGAGTGTAATATATTATCGAAGCATCAGCAAGTGCTGGTGTATATTATATAACGCGCATGTATAAAAATGTATCACGCAGTTGGTAACCCAATATATTATACGACTTGGCGCGAATTTAATATCGAGGACGCGCGCATGTATGTAAAATAATAAATCGTTGAATGTCGCTCTGCACAGGTATCGGAACGTAGTGCAGCGGCTGACCGTTTGCCACGACGAGACCGTCCAACCGCAGGTCCGACAAATCATGAGAAAAACGCTCGACTGCTCGATCGTCCGTATGCTCGAGTACAGGCTAGAAATCGTTAATCTCACCTGCCTCGAGTGCCCGTGAATACATCTTTAAGTAACACTCGACATTTAGGATACTCTACTTCGGATCCGCTTGACGGTTTGCGTTTGTTTGGTTTTTTCGTAAATTAAAAAAAACAGGTGGTCCAACGATTACCTGCTCGACGCGAGACTCACGCCGGACGACGTGGATCTGCGGGCGCCGCTTTACGACACCGCGTCTAGGCTCGCGAGGTTTCAGAGTCGCGCGCGAGCCGTCGAGGATCTCAAGAAATGTCCGGACATGCATGGCTATTTTACATTTTTGTTGATTTCCCCTCCTCCCTGTTTTTATTGTTCCTTTACGACTCAGCCAAGGCCGAGGACGGGGCTTCTGGAGTGGCGTCTACCGGAGGTGACGGGCGCAGTAATGAAGACGTAACTATGATCGGCACGGACGCGGTGGACGAGGCGCGCGATCGGGCGATTTTGCTCATTCAGAGCCACGAGCGCGCCAGAGTCTCACGGAGAATCGCCAAGACAGGTAGAGATACGCACGCCGAGTATTTGTCACCTGAGCGTAGTGGTAGTACTAGTGGTGTAATATAACGCGACTTTCACCGAAAGCCGTAAAAAAAAAAAAAAAATTAATCATCCCGAACCGAGTAAGTATATGTACACACACACATACACACGCGTGCTTTGGGTGACAAGAGGTTTTATTTGATGTTTTTTTTTTTTCCCATAACAATGAGGCGCATGAATATTTATGATGCTCGAGAGCGATTGATAAATGCGATAAAGAGAGAGGGAGTCGAATCGAGAGAGAAAAAATAAAAGCCTGAACATCGGAGATCGCGTGGGTGTCACACTCGCTATGGGAATTAAATCGGGCCCCGAAGGTGAAACCGGATGGTATTATATGTATACACCGAGTACCGTACACGACGCTTTTAGGCACTTGGTGTGTCTCTGTGCGCGCGTGTGTGGTACGGGTGTGTACCGGCCAAAGATACACAGCTGTA